TAACACATCACTTCGCTCACATCACTCTATTAGTCACATCTGTGACTAATAGGAGCGAAGAAACATCGGGTAATGTGAAGAAACGGGGAAAAATATTCAACATTATTGGTTTCCGAAGCGTACACTGCAAGAACTGTTCAAGATACCCACAAAATATGTGCGAAAGAATTAATCCTCTTTAGATGATCTAAAAAAAGTCCGCGATGCTATATGTCTATCTTTTAAGATTAACTTACGACGAAAAGGGACGCGACCGACGTTGTGGGTAACAGTATAAGTTTATAAAGATGAAGGGGTTTGCAAAGCCGAATTTGGATGCTCAAAATAACGATTCTCCCGGACGAAGTCGACTGACACAGCTAGTGAAGAATATAATGCAATACAGAACATAAATGTAGGCAATAAGTCAATATTGAAACCTGATGATAAAAATTAAAAATCAAGTACGACACCGGTGGAACTTGCTCTAAACTACAGACAGTATATGCTCTTATCTCTCAATTAGTTGGAGCGGCAGCACGGAACACTGTGGATTCCGGATCAAGTCCCGACCGTGTGGAAATTTTTCATTCATTATAAATAAATTTTTAACTTATATAATGCCGTCGTGTACATGTGAAAAACATCAATGTTTTCAACCGGATGTTACATTTATTGACATATAGAGATGTCTGTAAAATGTGACATTGTGCAAACAGTGTATACTTTAATGACTACGTATTTAAACAATTTGCTTCTTTTATGAGTTACGTCTCGCCCACATAGCGCCAGATAACAAACAATTGAATTTCTTGTTTTCAGGCGTTTATTCTCTCTCGAAATTGTGTTGGTGGCGCATTTATTATGAAAATAAAATTTGCGTGTGTCTCAGACATCCGGCAGTAAAGATAATTCTACATTCGCAACGCGTAACGTAAGTGAGAGATTTACCCTCTAATCTACCCTCCAAAAAATATTAAAATTAGTAAAATTCATTATTATTATTTTCCATGTGTTTTTTATTGTCGGCCATTGTGGTTTTAAAGTGAATTACCGTTTCCTCCTTGTGGGGCATGGGGCGAACACATTTCTGTGTCCGGTTCTTTAACAAGCAAATAGTTGATCAGACTTATGTGCCTTGCCTGACCGAAATAATCTTTTGATTTCTTGGGATTCGAACACGTTAACCATTTGGCTGCAAAGACGGTCTACCTTGATCTATTCAATGGTTATAGCTAATACAAAAATCTTGTCGTATTTGGGATATTAAAAATGTTTTGAACTTGTAGAGATTCTGGTATTCTGGCCTGTGTGGTTAACATGTGTGTGTGTTGTGTATTGCTTTATTGTTATTATAGCTTTAAAGGAAGCCACTGAAAGTATTGCAAAAATGTTACTATCTAAATGAAATGAAAGCAAAAATGTATCGCCCACGCAAAATATTTGGATTTTGGAAAGGGCAAAACGTCAAAGTATATCAAAGAATTTTAAATATTTCCGACTTGGAAATTCGCGATTCTAACTTGGCTTGCGAAGGTTAAACGCAACAGTTGGCAAAGAAGAGATCATAATATTTCAGCTTATAAATGCCTGAAATTTCAAAAGATAAACTCGTCATTGTTATACTTTGTGTTGACTCGTTTATACCCCTGAATTTTGGTCTGAGTGAAATATTAAAATCAAAACTTTAAAAGAAAAAGAGATTGTTTGTTTAATTATTCTTTTTATGTGTAAAACTTTTGTGGTTCTCAAGTCCCTGGTGGTGTTGGTATACCTATTATACTGTTTATAATAGAAATAATAAAGAAAATATATAAGAAAGTAAAATACATATTGTGGTCATATTACAATAAAAATGTTGATATACAAAGTAAAAATATCCGTCCTTATATATTAAGTTCATCAAAACCATTCTTTGACCATTGCTAATTCCTAATTTTATTTTTTATCTCAGACTCTGAATCACATGGAATTCAACTTGGTTATAAATAAAATCGGTCAATGAAAGAGACATAGTTCGTCCCAAGCCCCACGTAGGGGCACTACGCGAATATTGTTTCTTTAGTGATTTTTTTAGTAAATACATTTTAATTTCCAAAAAAAGCGAGTAGATAATAAAGACATTTGAGTTTAAATACTAATAACTTATATATATTGCGTTTTAAATCGTTAAAGTGTTTTATTTAAATGTGTACTGCTCCCGTAAACTACAGACAGTATTACATTTGAGTTTATCCAAACAAAATGTTGCAGATGCTGTCAAATTACACCAAATGCTACTGAAATTGCCCATAAAATTTCTGAATTCTCTAAATTTCAGAAACCGCGGCACTTGAATGCACTCTTACGGTAAGAGTGTCTTGACTTACATTTTAATACTTTAAAAGTTAAAATGCTTTTGAAATCGGGTCGACCACTAATTCTCTTTTTTAGTTCTATAAGTTACATTTCATGTAACTTTATATTTACTCTGATTCAATAATATGGGTATATACCGTTACAGATCATTATAAAATCTGATTTTTAGTTAGATGTTTATAATATTCTCATTCTGTATTACATTTACCGATATCTATATATTTTCTTCTTAGTTGCTGTATTAGTTAGATATTAAAAATTACGAGTTTATGTTAGTGTTATATTTAAAAAATAAAAATAATTTTCACACATGATGGAACTATATAATTGAGAGGTGTATATATCAATAATTTATTTTAAATTTTTACATTATGCGATTGTACGATTTGAATGAATGTGTCAGAAAATCGTAGTTGATAATAATTCTATGGTAATTTGTCCTTGGCAAAAGGAAGATAAGGTTTTTTTGTAATCTGTAATCTCTTGATTTTAAATTTATCATGTAGATGTTTGTTTCTGTTATGTTTCCCAATAAATTAATATTTACTGGATAATTATCTTTCAATTAGACTTAAAACGTACTTATACTTAAAACGTAGTTCATTATTTTAATGAGCAACTTCAGAACAATGTCAGCAGAGTGAGTATTTATTTAATTATAATGTAATAAACGAAAAAGGTCAAAGTATGTACATAAATATAAACATAGTAACATCACATATATGATGTAATGTTTTTCATGCAAAACTTTATAGGAAACTGAATTTTACAAAGATAAATAAGATACTACATAAATAGTTTTCTTAAGAAAATCGATATGAACAATTGCCGACTGTGAAGTGTTAGAAGAACCAGGTGAAATAATTGTATGTAGCAGATTCAAGTTCAGGTTGTCAATCTATTTATTTTATCCTGCCATTACAACTTTTCGTATTATGCAATCCCTCATGTTAATAATTTTGTTATAGAGAGTTAATGACATAGCAATGTATAGCTAAAATAATAATCATCAGATCGTGGATTCGACCCCAACTACTTATACATTACTTTGTCATTAATTTATTTTTGTCCCATTAACACATACATATTGAACTTTGTCTGGAAATCGGAATATTAAATGGATGGTAGGAATATCGAAATTCTGTCCTGATTACAAAACATCGTCCAAAGATAACCAATTAGGTAGACCGCGTTGTTCGTTATATGGCTGGGGACCGGGAAATTGCACCTTCCATCAAACATTGAACCCGATGCTATTCTGTCCTCCTTTATCATTAAGAGTTGAAGATTCAATTTTACTTACTGGATGGTCTAAAAATAATAACACATGTAGAAAAAGTGAGAATCGTCTGACGTCAGTGTTTATAGGGTACGTAAACAAAGAACGAACCACATCCGCGACTGTATGCTGATTTATAACCACAAAAATACAATATATAAACTATTAATGAGGCTATGTTACGCACATATCCTAGGAATAACGTTAGTTGAAGCTTATTAAAGATTTTCTACAAAAAACTTTGTGAATATAGGATTGTTTCGCCATAAAAGTGAAGTCAACACCCGTTTAAAATTTCCTACAGTTGGGATTGCTAGTGTCGCCTCCAAGTACCTAATTTGGTGACACTGTCTGGTGTCAAAGTTTTGGTTTCTCACACCAGTGTGTCTTGTCTTAAAATATTACCATTTTCTGGTCGGGGATCGAACTCCTAACCTAATGCAATTATTAATGTAATATTTGCCGCAATAAATACATATATAACGCAGTGATATTATAAATATGAAAGTTTTTCCGAATCTATTTATATATTAGTATTTCAATTCCATGTAGTTTTCTTGTTTTCTATATGCTGTTTAGAGTAAAGTGATTAATGGAAAACCATATAGAAAAATGGGAAAGGAATAGAAACTTTTGAATGGAACAACGCGTAATCTGATAAGTGGAACACAAGAGGGACCTGCGGGCGTGTACACTTTACATTTTTTATTTTCCAGGTAAACAAAATTTTAAATGTGTAATTCTTTTAGATCTAGAAGAGAAAATACGAGTACGCTACGCTAAATGAGATGAAAAATTATCTTGCTTAATTAGATTGTTCGTTGGTATGTTAGGTTCATTAGTCTTTTGGATTCAGTATTAATTAGTTTCCGCGTACAGATCCTGATAGATTTTAACAACTGATATGTTATTATACTATAATATATTATTATACTACATACAAATAAATTTAGAGTCAATTGTACGTGTAGCTAATATATATCGCGTTTTAAACCGTTAAAGTGTTTTAAATGTCTTAAACTGACTAGAACTCGCGTAAACTACAGACAGTATATACGTATAACAATTTGTCAACACGACGAATACTTTCAACCTGGCTGTCTTTTGCGAATAAGTCTTACATTAAAAAAGTATGAAGTACACTTTTGAAACCCTAATTAATATCCTAACGTCGCGAATACCAGATGCTCCATGATTTAAAACTTTAACAAAATATAAGGCATGTTTTATGAAGTTTAATTAAGGCGTGCCTAAATTAGATCTTCTTAAAACTAATTAGTATTATCAGAGGAGTATGAAGTTTATAAAGATTGTAATTTGTGTGGTTTGAAAAGTCTCAATAGGACTTGTTCATCGTAATTATATTGTAATTGTATACGAAATATCATATTGTATCTGTGGTTAAGTAAATTATATCTAAATGACACGTGACAACTAAACATGCAGAAGGGGGGTTGCGAACGTGCGCGAAGTGCGTAGACTCGAAAGAAGATAAGCTCAGCAAACTTTCAACACTAAGTCTGGTCCAAAGTTTGAACTGCTGAAAGTCAGTGGAATTGCTACTTAAGTGAATGTGAAGTACCAAAAACATTGGCGGACAGTCGGAGCGCTGTGACGTTCGCAGCCCCATCTCAGGGTCGGAGTCAGTCTCATGCGAAGCGGGAGGGGCGACGGTGGGGCAACATGAACGGGGCTCACTGAGAGGATGGTGCGGCGGCACGGAGAACGTGTAGTACTTGGCTGTTTGGTTGTGCGCGCGCAGCACTGAGCTGTGAGTCAGCGTCACCACCACGACCAGGACTGACGCCAGCGCCAGCATGAAGAAGGAAGCCGCGACGGCTGCCACGACGCGGCGTCGCCTCGCTTCTTTGCCCGCGTCCTCCGGAGGTAGTTCTGGCTCGACCGGTTGAGGTTGGGGTTCAGGGGATCGGCTCCGAACGCTAGGTCCCCGATTCGGCAGCTCTAGGGTGTGTCGGCGCGACCGGCGCGTGCGATCGCAGTCCGCAGCTGATGAATGGTGACGGCGTAACCGATGTGGGGCACCAGGTGCAGCACGACATGACGCTGAGCGCAAGGTGCGCACGGGCACCATTAAATCATCGCTGGAGACGCGCGGCACGCGGCCGGAGTGTACGGAACGGAAGGAGTGGTCGCGCGACGAACTACTCGGGAAGGCGAGGTCGACTGAAGCGCGTGACGAATGTCTGGAGAAGCGTTCGCGATCCCGGTCCCGGTCCCGGTGTTCCACTCGCACAGACATGACGCGGCTGAAACTCGCGGCGGCGACCGCCCGAGTGACGGACCCTCCCCGCGGGAACTCGCGTCGCCGCGCAATCGTGTTTACACTAGGGTGACTATGTATTGTGGAAGATCTACGCGTACGAGACGACTTGTCCAAACAATCGTAGTTTTTTATATATGTTACCATTACTACTAGTAAAAAAAAATGTAAATAATTATTTATTGAAACATAAGTAATTTGGCGGTATTTTAGTTTATTATGAGAAATCTGTCTAGTAATTGGTAATCCACAAATAATCATTATTTAATTTAAATCTTTATATATCGTTGTTAAAAAAAAATGTAACCCCAGATAATGAATTGAAAAGAATACGAGTTTTTTACGAGGACCCATTTTTTACGGATATTATGAATTTAATACAGATAGAAAATAAATAAGCAGTGAAATTAATTTCTGTAGGGATACAATAAAAGGTATTTAAAATATTATCCTTTTATGTGAATATGAATGCGCACCCTACATCCTTAGAAGTTAGCATAAAGACGCTTCCAAATAATCCGAAAACGAAGGCTACTCCGAAATGCATGTCGTTAAAAAATATTGACACAGCAAGTAGATCTTAAATGGATTTCTTATACAACTACAATGTGTTTGGAATTAGTTTGTTCGGGGCGAGTTAGATTATTTGTAATAAAAAGGACGCCAAAAAGCCTGTAAAATGAGGTTGGATATGATTGAAGCATTTACGATACTGTTCTCAATGGCGGAGCGGTAAATAGAGCGAGCGCCCTTTGTTGTGGAATATGCGTTGTCAAGTTAAATTGTGTTGGCGGGAAGCGTAGCAGATAGTGTACAAGTTGTGAGGCTGCTACATCGACACTTTTCAATAGAAGCTACGTCAGCTCACGGCGTTACATCTACTCAGCGGTAGCCTGTGGCTATCCACTTTGCGCAAAGGGAACCTTTTATTCTGCCTACTCGCGAAATAACTCATTATTTATTTGAGCCAGTAAACGGTTCAAAAGTCCCAAATGAAATATATGTTAAGGTCAATCAAAAGGCTGCTATAGATCAAAGAAGTTGTGTGCACAACAAAAGATGTCTTCCAGACTTCTTTACGAAATTATTGGGCATAAATATTAAACATTATCAGTTGCTTAGTTTCCCATTGTAATTCTTTCTTATAATAATAAAACAATTAGAGCAATAATTTATAAGATAAAAAAATATGAACTTATAATATATCCTGTGTTTCTTAATAAAATTAATAAAATGTCCCGCAAGTATATTGGCTATTAACGAATTGCTAAAGTTCCTGGACGGATAATATTACTAATTGTATACTGTCTGTAGTTTATGTTTAAATAAAACACTTTAACGGTTTAAAAGCGATATACGCGGCCCGACGTTTCGGATGCTTTGCAGCAACCGTGGTCACGGGGAGACTATAGAAGAACCTGATCAGGTAAGGACAGCATTGACTAACGGTGTCTTCGCGTTTACCAGCAATCCCAATAAACCGTTTCAATTATTACTATAAAAGGTACTAAAACTCTAGGAGTTCAGTGTCCTTTTTTTGCTATGTATTGTGCTAAAGGTACATTATAGGTTCTAGTTGGATATATTCGGTTCACCTCTCGTCACCCGCCATGGGAATATCCAAGCTTCGTGAAAATTACGAGATGTGAATTGAATTAACTCGACGGTAGCGATCTTGCATTCATGAATATCAAATGGAGGGTTCGACATCTTTTTATTTGACCTCATCACTGCAGTGGCACGGCAATACCAAGTTTTTTCCCTTAAAAGTACTATTATTTGTAGGGTGACACTTATTAAGTGGGCAGACATGAATAATGCATAGCCTTTTGTGGCGCAACCCCGAACGTTGTAATAGGTTTTGCAAAGATTTGCGCTCGAAAAAAATGTCTATTACCCACTGCTGCCTATGTAGCTTCGACGGAGGACTTAATGAATCTTTTAAAACGAATCCAATATTTTATCCCCTTTTTTAATGATAGGGGAGGACAGACATGGCATGGAGTTCACCTGATGGTAGGTGACATACCCCAGCCTATATCATCTAAGCAAGATGCGCTGACGACCTATTTTGGCTATGGATATTCGGAAATCGACAGACTGAAACCGAAACGCGATTGTTCACGGCTTTTACATCTGTGGACGGTGGTTCGTGACCCGGACGGAACTTCGATATTCCTACCACCTTAATATCCAGGTTACCAGACGAACTTCAGCGTGTTTCAGAAAAGTTATAAACTGAAAAATTAGAAACACGTTGCAACTGTTCATTTGCCCTACGTTGCTACCATTAGACCGACGAGCCCGTCCCTAGGTATTCTATGACCTTTTTACTTTCGAATGCGAACTGTCATTCGTAATAAGATTCAAGAAGGCGTGAATGAAAGATGTCAGAATAGAATATATTTTGTGTGAACGCGTTGAAAAAGTAAGATACTTTTGAATAAGCATGTTTACGTTATGTTTACCTTTTTGGTATAACACAAATTGAACCGTTAAAATTTAACCGTAAGCATTTACAGCTTGTTTACGCGAGTAGTATACATTTAAATTAAACACTAACGGTTTAAACGCGATAGACAACAGCAGTTTTTTACTTTGATGTCAGAGACAGCCTCCTCGTAACCACAGTTACAAAGCATCCGAAACGTCGGACCGTAGTTAAAATAAGTTTAACTAGTATAAATCGCGTTTTTAACCGTTAGAGTTTTATTTAAATTAACCGCAAGCAAATTCCCATAAATATCTTAGAGTATGATATTAAATTGTGGCATCGCTTGTAATTAATTAATGTAATTAAATCCGAGTGACAATGATCAACGTTGCGAGAAACGACCGAATTCAACAAACATATTAAGGATTCCGCGATGTATTACTGTCTTACTTTAAATCTGTATTAAAATTGCTTAAGAAATATCACGTAACAATTTAGATAAATACAAATATCAAACACACCGTCGCACATACACATCTTTTTTTTCGTATTTTCAGTCTGTGTTTTGGTCTTAAATAACAATATATATTATTTTTATAGTTGAAAAGGACGGACTAGCACGGGGTCCACTTGATGGTAGATGAAATGAACCAGCCATATAACATCTAAACAACATTTGCTGTCGACCGTCTTTGGCTTTGAATAATCAGAAATATAATATGTTTTTTAAATTGTAAATAAATTACTTTTGTAAGTTTTTAAACGGTTTTATTTAGCTCGACCCGTACGGAATGTATTCATTTGGGTCAATATCAGAAATTGAAATTTAAGCACCTTCCCGTTCTCAGATTGAACTGAAAATTTGGTACACACATTTAATTTAGATGACAATACAATATAATAAAATCAATAACGTTATAAATCTATAATAAGATGGCCGCCGATACAAAATGGCGGATTACATATTTTTCCTTAACCACCTCAATATGGGTATCAAATGAAAGGGCCACACTAATAAAACACGATGATTAGATAAAATTTAAAGTTTTTTGTAGTTTTCGGTGCACAAAAAATAAAACCGTTTAACTTAAAAAAAAAATACAGAGATTTTTTATAATCCTAACTAACTGCCTTGGTAGTAGTAGAATAGCTAGAATCCCTGGCGAAATATTAGTTTAGTATTCAAAATATTTCTAAAAAAATGTACAGTGCCAGTACGTAGTTGACACAGGACCTCTGCCCAGTAGTTAAGAATAATAGGACGAAACCCAAATAAATTATCGCAATGCCTTGAACTTACAAACCCCAAAGCAATAGAACGGTGACTCGTTTGTCAACGTCTTTTTTATTTTCCATTTTACTCACTAATGAAAAATCTCGGTAATGCAAATAGTAATTGCTCGCTTTTCTCTTCTCGACGCAAAACTAGAGAATATTTTTACAAGAGGATTTACAAGCGGCCCATTTGAAAAATGCGTACCGAATCCGTAACGCCGCGACCGATTTTAATTAAATATAAATCTAAAATAAATATTTATTTCTTTTAATTTAATCCAATAATAGTATGGCGTAGAATTGTATACATATTTTCAAGTACCTGATCCGGTAAACGTCGTTTTATTGTTTTACTAATTAAGGCATCGTAGACTATTATAACAGGATTAGTTAAGTTCTCAAGAATCCGATATTACTTTAATTACTTATTTAAAATTTGATAAAATAACTTTTTAATACGAGCCCTAAAATACTTCATTTACATACCTTTGGCGTTGCACAGCTATATTTACTAGGTTCAAAAGCGTAAAGCTTCGTGGAAAATTTACACAGCCGTATTTATCTTACTGAGAAATCCATATAGCTTTAGTCCGCCCAAAACAAAATTCTTTGTTTAAAAGCCCTATATTGTATGGTCTATACTTAACTATGTAGTCACATGTTTCCTTACTAATTCTACTTATTATACCTGTTTTTTTATTTCTATATTGTATCTTTTTTCATGATAGAGGAGGCCATACAAGCATGGCATTCACTTGATGGTCATCTACACCCCAGTCATATAACATCTAAACAAGATGTGCTGTCGACCTATTTTGGTTTTGGATATTCGGATATCCACAGACTGAAACCAAAACGCGATTAAACTTTACAGCTTTTTTTTCTATAGAAATTATTAATTATTAAAAATATTTTACAGAGGTGGCAATAAATATGTCAACTCAATCATTGAACTAAGAAAAGAAAATCTCGTTCTACTTGTTACTTAATATAATTAATACCATATATTTTTACCATAGATTAGCTTGTATAAGCTATTCGATAAGGACGTGTGTTAGCTTACTTCGATTAGGATAATCCAAAATGCGTGCAAACAAGCCAAGTACAATCTAATTCCAATTAATAGATTGCTATAAATGATTGAAGGTTCCATTCATTATTACTAAATTAGAAAATTGCTATCCCTAATCTTAATTGGTTTCTGAACGTTAAATATTCATTCAACTTATATTTTAATAATCAGTCTACTGTATATTTGACCTCCTGAAGTTGATTGAATTAATTTTTAATAATGGTTAATAGCTTCTTTATAATAATATATTGAAAAGAATGAATGATTAAAACCGATGTGATTTGGCTATGTATAAATAATATGTTACCTATAGTTAAATTGTTTGTAACGTATAGCAACTTATGTAACTCATATTATGGGGCACGT